CACACTGTAAATGCTTCATAGAAATTATCCAGCAAAGCACTTTCAATGGCAAATCTCATACGTTCACTGTCCATTCACAGCCACTGCAAAGAGGAGAAAGAAGGCTTGCCTTTCGCTAGTACTCTGCACATTTTCTCACCCTATTTTACCATCTTTTCTCTAAGTAAGACCTAGATTGGATAGACCATATATTGTGATTTCTGCCTCTAAGTTATTGCTTCGTTTTCTCAGCTGCAACCCTGCCCACTCCTGTGTTTCTTGACTTGCCCATCGCTGTCGCTCCTCCAGGACAGCGGCTGCTCTGAGCGAAGCCTGTCTGTGGTTGGCATCTGGAGGCACTGCCTCATACACAGCTAACAGCAAGCTCTCCCTAACACCTTCTGGAGGTGAAGGCACCCACCCAGCTCTGTTATTCACAATATTTCCTCCTCTGGCCATTAAAGATTGGAAAAGCACAATGACAGTGGTATAGCTGGGAATAAGATCTGGTCTGGCAATGCTGTGGGGTTCATTTGGACGTTTAAGATATGATCACAGTGCTGTCACCAGAGTATTGCAAAATACTGAATACTGAATTATCTTATACGTTTGGTGTGAAAATTTAGCTTAGGTGTTTTAACAGTGACTTTAAGACTGACCTACAGCGTCCGTGTGATCTCTCACTGTATACCCAGTAAGGTATCTCCTCCAGTTGGAGGGAGGTTGAACATGTCCTACAGGTCTGAGTTCAAGCTGTTCCTGGAGCACATGGGCAGAAATCTCCTCTCCCTGTTTCTGCTGCGTGCTGTTCCTAGAACATTTACATGATTTTCTTTTAGCTGGTTGTTCCCAATGGTTATTTTAATGGTAACGCTGCAGCTATATAATTTGCATAAGCTTTTCTAAGAGCAGCACCATAAAAGGTGAGATTAGCTGGAACAAATGGTCTAGGAAAGTACTGGTTTGGATATTTGGAGGTGGGTTTCCATGGGTATCTGGGGGTGAAGGGACCGGGGATAAAGCAGGAGAATGAGCTTGAGATCAGCTTCATAGGAGCTGTGACACACTGCAAAGGCTGTGTTACAGGACTGAGCATGATGTGATGGCTCCTTTGGGCAGCAGAGTTGGAAGTGCCTAAGGGAGAGGGGACAGAGCTGGACCGGTGGCTTCAGGACTCTTTTGCTCCTGAAATTTCTCTGTGCAGTCCTGGGTGGAGAGACAGGAACCAGTTTGGCTGGGTGGGTGAAGGCTTGCGTTTGGGAGGTTTGTGGACAGGAGAGCTTGGAGCATGAGATGCTAGCACCATCTCCAAGAGGAACCCATTGCTTTTGGCCACCAGGAGCAAAATATCTGCTACTGGAGGAAGGGGGCAGCAACAAGGACTTGATAGGGAAAGACAACCTGTACTGATCCCTGTGACAATCCCCTTCATCCTGCCATCCTGCGTCAGGATGTTCCTCCTACAAGTGTGAACACGGTGCCTAGAAACAAGCTGCAGGATCTTACCGCTGGGTAGTGGAGTGGTGGTGGCAGAGAAGGGACTCAGAGGTTGCTAAGAGTCTCCTTGTTTATTTGCTGAAGGTCCAACAGCTCCCTCGGTCAGAGACACACTCTCCTTGTTAACAAAAAGGCAGTGAATTATTTAGCAGCTGAAAATGCCAGATGGCGAAGGCTCTACTGCTTACAGGAGGAGGGGAGGGAGGGAGACATTCACATGGGGAGAACAGATTGAGAGCATCTCCGTAGGAAAGGACCAACCCTGGCCAGAGGCCCAAGTGACCCCAGTGGTTTCACAGCCACCTGATGGCGAGCAGGAGGCAGGCGGGCCAGGGCAAATGGCTGCTGCTTGTCACAGTGGCCCACTCGTTTCCCACGGGTCTTCCCTTGGAGTTCTCTCTTCAGGGGTTGTTATCCCAATGGGGCCATGCTGGGCCTTGAAGTATGGGACTCCCAGCTGGGAGGCAGGCCATGACTGAGGGCACTACAGGGAGGCTTTGACAGCCCATCCCTCACTTCACACCTGGCTGGAGGGATGGTACTTCAGCCCCAAGTCTACTGGGATGGTCTTTGGAGCAGTATCAGCATATCTCAGGTGACCTGGCAGTTCTTTTGGGAGCTTCACTAATGGTCAACCGTGCCAGCTTGGGCTATGATGTCTCCAGACACCATGGACTGGCCAGATCAATATGTATATGGCTAGGGAACTCTGAGGAGAACTGTAGGCAGCATGGGCAGATCTGTAGCAGACACTGAAGCCCCATGCCCCAGGTGACACTGCACCATATGCACAATAAGAGGGACTGCCATGAATCTGCATGTCCTGGGGATCTTGATGCCTGTAGTTCAGCAGCTTCTGACATCCCTCCGAGGCATCTATGCAGGTAGCCAGATGCTAGCTTAACCCTGGAGTGGGGTGAGCCTCAGGCTGTGCTGGGCTCATAGCCTTGGTCCAAGCATCCCAGCCACTCTTTGGCTTCCAGTGGAGATTTTTCTTTGGGATGGAATTTAGGCTTCAGAAGTGAAGAAAATAGCAAGTGACCATCTCTCTGTGTTTAATTTGGAAACTGCAGGCACCAAGACTGGTTCTTAAGCTCTTCAACCCTCTCGAGATCTTGGGTTGAGAATCCCTTGGGAATCCCTGGTGTCCACCTGATTGCATTTGTCAGGCTGTCAGAGCCTGGTTGGTTTTTTTTTGTCAACTCTGTGTTTGAAAGCCTCCCTCTTCTTCAGTCTTTCCTTTCCCCACATGAGGATGTCAAAGAGAGTCAGTGTCTCAGACATGTAATCTGTGTCAGCTCCTGTCCCAGCACCCCCATCCTACCCGCTCTGCTGAGCCACGGAGTGGGGTGTCTGGGCTCCTCAGGAGCTTTAGGACAGGACTAATCTCCTCAAGCAGGAAGCTGCATGATCTGAGAGAGAGAGGCTGAGGCTACAGCAGTGCACATAAAACCACGTGCTGCTGTAGTCTCCCATCTGTCACACTGACACAGCAGAAGTAAATGTTTCCCAACAAAAGCAAATCCGTGTAGAGCTCAGGAAGATCCCCTTTCTAAGCCGAGGCATTTTGTGCATGCTTGCTCTGTGCTCCCCAAGGACCCCTCAATCAGGTTTCCTTTGGTGTTGAAGCAGAGTTGATCCTGTTTAGTCTTGGGAAAAAAAACCACCATAAACACTTTGCATCTCCAGGTCCCTGGAGGTGCTGGCTGTCTTTGCATACTCCTCCATTGCTTAATCAGACCGTGGCTTCTGCTCCTCTTCCTCCGTCCTGTCCATGTGGGTTGTGAGCGTCCTGCAGCAGGGATCAGCTGTGGCTGGGTGACTGCAGGGCTGCAGCAGGGTCCCAGCTGTGGCTGGAATATAGATAAAAAGGAAAGAGATGAATGAATGCCCAATGGCTTGAATACAAAGCTCACAGGAGTACGTGTTAATGGGCATGATGAGGTTTCACGTGGCCTTTGCACAGACCACAATATACTGTGCTCAGCATGTCTGTGGGGCAAGGCACTCACGTAGCTCCTTATAAACTTCAGGCAGGCCAGATGTTCTTGTCAGCAGCACAAGTCCCTGAGAATAGGGACATAGAATAACTGAGGTTGGAAGGGACCCCTTGGAGGTCAGCTGATAAAAGCTCATGCCTAGGACTGGGCCAACTTCAGAATTACATTTGGTTGCTCAAGGCCTCCAAAGACAAAGTTTCCTTGTCCATCTGTTTCCCTCCACCCCAGTAACCTCAGTCTTCCCCTAAGCAGGGTCTTCAGCCCTCTGGGTTTATCTACCTAAAAAGTACTAGACATCCTACCTCGGGGCCTTTTTAGAAGAGACATTAGGGACCCAACCTGGTTGCCATTTTAGAAACTCCCCAATGACCTGTTAAGGGACTGTCCTGAGAACACCCGGAAGACCCCTTGCTGTCCCAGGGTGCCTCTCACCCTGGTGACGTGGTTGGTCTCACCACAGTCAGAGCTGTCCTCCTCTGAAGGCCATGCAGCTCTCCAGGCCTGGGAGCAGCTGCCTGATGGTGCTGGCGGGGGCTCCAAGGCACAAAGACGTGGCAGGCATGTGAGGAGGAGAGACTCTGGCCCTGTTGTCCCCACCCCGTGTCTGTTAGCGTTTGCTGTGCTGGTTCCTTCTCCTCCTATAGTTCTAGTGAGTGCAATAGCCATGCAGCACTGTCCTGGCATGCAGGTCTGTGGCATCTCCGTGACAGCCATGTTAGTTCATGCTGGCTGCTGTAGGGTGCTTGTTCCCAGGGGTCCCAGGCACTGCAGGTTTGGAGAGAATCCTCTCCTACTTAAAGCATGGTCATAGGAAAGGTTTTGGAAACATGCCACAGTCTTGGCCATTAATGGCCTTTAAGTATTTCCTACCAGTGAGGGCTGTAGCCTGCGGTATCAGCTCCTGGGGAAATGGGGGGAACCTTGGCATTTAGGGTTTTGAGAAGCTGATTCTTCTGAAGACTTCAAGATATCTTGGAAGGAGCAATCCTGCTCTGGTAGAAAGATGGAAGGGAGGTCCCACAACTCCTGAGTCACACAGGCTGTGATGCTGGAGGAGAAGGGAGGGCTGGGGATGTTCCACACACAGTAGATGATACCTGGCTGCGGGGAGCAAAGCAAGCACAGCCCTAGCAGCCCAGTTGTTAACATGATCATTGATCTTATTCTCAGAAACTCAAGCAAATGCTTCAGCTCCTCATTCCTGCCTGTTGACCGTACCAAGGTGGCCATGGCTCAACCCAGCTTCCAGGACTGAGGGGCAGACGTGGTGAGAGACCTGTCTCAGGTATGATGGAGACAATCAAATAGTATGGGGTTTAATGGGGTGGGGAAAGGGTATGAGGTAGCTGTGAGATTTCTTCAGCAACACCCCCTGACCTGTGTCCCACAGCCCCTCCCTGCCCTTAGTGAGCTCCTCAGACCTCACTGGAGGACCTGAAAGAGCCACAGCCCCTTTTCAAGCAAAGCCTTCTCCGTCCGCACCCCTGCCCCTATGTTGCAGGGTGAGGCCCCACGACGGCACCAATGGAGAGCATGTACTCGGTGGAGCCAGCACCTGGTGGTGCCGGCCCCACCTCGCTGGACGTGCTCAGCTTCCTGGATGCCCTAGTGAACAGCACAGAGGAGCAATGCTTCAGCGCCCGCTCCCGCAGCACCGTCCTGGAAGGGCTGCCGTTTGGCGGTGTGCCCACTGTGCTCGCCATCAACTTCATCCTCTGGCTGGTGAGTGGGTCAGGAGGGTGCCATGTCCATGGGCACCGCAGCCCCAGGCTGGGGTGTCAGAGACTGGCTATGAGCACGAGTGTGTGTGTTAGGGGTGTGCCGAAAGCCACACGTGTGTGCAGTGTGCATGCCTGTTGCCTGGCTGTTTGGGGGAATGGGTGTAAGTGCAGAGGACCAAGAGCTTTGCCCACATCATGGTGGGCAGCATGTGGCACTTGGGCAGCAGTGGTGAGATCATGGAGCAGGAGCAGTTTGGCTTCAGGCAAGAGTTTTGCATGAGCTTGGGCTCATGAGTGGGAAAACAGAAAGGAGGGATGTGGGGAGACCCCATGGGGTGAGACCCTGCGACAAAACCCTTCATCTCTCCTCTTCCCTCTTCTTCCAGCTTCTCCTCCTGGTCTTCTCCTGCCTTCGGAAAGCAGCTTGGGACTATGGACGCCTGGCGCTGTTGATGGACAACGATAGGTGAGCAGGACGTGAGGCCACCGCAGGTGATGGCTCCATCCTCTCCAAGAGGGCTGACAGGAGGGCCAGGCCACTAGGAATGGCCTGGCTGCCCTTGCCCATGGAGGCACAGGCACCACCTGCTGCAGGGAGAGGGAAAGCCCAAGCCAGCTTTGATTCCCTCTTACAGGCACCATCTGGTGATGGTGCTCTCGGTGCCAGGGAGGGCACCGTCCTGGGGAGGACAGAGGCCCAAGAGCTGCTTTCGGGTGGGGACTGAGACGCCGCCTCTCCCCGTGCCGCTCTTGGGATGAACAGGGCTGGCCAGCGGAGGAGGCAGAGGGAGACACGCAGCAATAACACTGTACCTCATGTCAGCAGAGCAGCTTGCCTGGCCCATCCTTTGGGCTAGGTGCAGAATCCCCCCAAAATACCAGTGTCCTGGTGAAAACAGAGCCCGGACCAGATTTCCAGGTGGGCTGTGCTGCCTGCAGCTGTCTGGCTGCCAGAGCATGGTTCACCCCAGGCAGCAGAGCATCTTTCTTTGCAGGAGGAAATGTTGGAAAAGCCCCTCTCCTGCCTTCTCCCCTCTCCAGCTCCTCTTGGGCTCAGGCTCTGGAGCTGAGTCTGGCAATGGACAGGCAATATTTCCCTTTACCGGGGAGATCAAAATGCCATTTGAAGGCTGAAACCAGTGGAGTATAAAAATCAGTTTCAGCAGGCTCTCGTCCTGGAGCCAAGGCCAATTCTCCACCAGCCACCCTGCTGTGGGCCCAGGCCACAGAGAAGCCACAGGGACTGATCGGTGCAGAGGCAGTGAGTGCAGCCCCTTCCCCGAGCCCAGCGGTAGTCACTGGTCCAGCCTCAGTGCAGGATGCGGGGAGGGGGGGAGGCATTTCCTGGGCGGCTTTCCTAGAAGAAGCTTCTCGGAGGGTGCTCATCCTCTCCCATCTGCTGCTTCTCTCTTGCCTCACCCCTCTGCTCCGCCACTGACTGCAAAGTTTGACGTCGCTTTTCTACGGAGAGCAGAGTGAGAAGGAGAAGTCTCCATCAGAGAGCAGCCCCCTGGATATCGACAACAAGGATGTGGTGAGTGCTGGCAGCCGTGGCAGGGGGAGCCCAGGCTGGGCTCATCCTGGCCCAGCCCTCCCTGCTCTTCATGGGGAACTCAGGTCAGAAGTTAAACGGGAGAAATTAAATCCTCCAGTGTGGGTTTCCTGCTTAACACCTCTTTAGCAGCGGGGTATTCCTGGGAAAGCTGGAGGGTTTCTTTGTGCTGGCTTTGTTTGAGGCATCTACCTTGAATGGCAGGTCGGAGGGATGCTCCCACCAGGGCGAGCATCTCCCGGCTGCATGGCTGTCCCTGCCGGCTGCGGGGACCTAGTTGGATGCATGGCCAGAGCCTTGCTCTGTGTGCCCGCGGGGATTTTTCTGGCTCCGGCAGGACAGAGTCCCCTGGATCACACCTCCACCTCTGCTGGCATGGTGGGCTGTGGGGGCTTTAAAGCCATCTTTTGTTTCTCTCCACCACACCAGGCACAAACCAGGTTTTGCTGGAAATGAGCATGGACCGACACATTTTTCTGTCTGTTTCTTTCTCTTTTTTGGCAACAAAAGCTCAAAAATCAGTCACTGGTGTGACTATGAAAAAAATGACAGAAATTCTTAAAAAAAAAAAACCTAGGCAGGAAAGGTTAAAGAAGCAAAATCCTTGCAGGTGGCAGGAGGCCTGTTTAAAGGCTCAGTACTGGATGCTCTGGGCAAATATATATTGCTCATCAAAAAATAAGTGAGAAAGACCACAGGGAATGCCAGCATGGCTAAAGAGCAGATTAAGGGAGATTATTAGATGTAAGAAGACACCTTTTTAAAAGTCAAGCTGTTCCCAAATGAGGAAAATCTAAACTCTGCCAGGTTAGATGTAAAAGGCACTAAGGTGGGAGGGAAGAGGAGTTTGAGGAGAAATTTGTAGAGAGCATAAAAGCAAGTACTGGATTTTTCTTCACACATCAGGAACAGGCAACCTGCCAGAGGGTTTGTAGGGCCGATAGGTGGTGAAGATAGAAAATGCTTGCTGGAGAAGGCGAGAATATGGCAGGAGAGCTAAATAAAGTTTTGTTGCCTGTATCCAGTGAGGAGGAGCTCAACCAAATTCTTGTCCAGGAGCCCTTCTCTGCGGGGAAGCACCAGAGCATCCCTCCAACAGCAGGGTTGGAGGATGAGGTTGCAATAAAAGCAGCCTGACAAATTCCCATTACCATCACAAATTCCCAGGAGCAGGCATGGGACTCCTCACTCTCCCCAAGATGAATAGCCAAGCTATTGACTGCAGCATGTGATCTCTCTCCTGCACGTGGGCATCCTAGAGAGCTGGGAATCAGCTGATGAACGCTGGTTTTTCAGGAGGCTTTCTGGAAAACCCAAGAAATTACAGGCCAGGGAGCTTGGGGTCTGCATGGACAACCTCCCAGACATGGTTCTCCAGAGCAGAGCCCCGGAGCGGGGCATAGGAGGGGAGTCAGCCCAGCTGTGCTAATGGGGTGTCCGACCCCTGTGGAGCTGTCAGGCACACGGGGATGCCTGCACATCCAAAGCTTCCCACTGCGGTCGATCAGACGAAGCTGAGCTGTGGGGTAGGAGGGAAGGTCCTGGCTTGGGTAAAGCTGGGGATTAGAGAGGAGGAAGAAGCTGCCAGCTCTCATGGGACAGGGTAAGGGAACCACAGGGGGCTGCCTGGGGTCCCTCCCATCCAAGGTCAGCATAAACCCTCTGGAAAGGAGGTGAAGAGGAGGGGCCTGATGGCCAAGTGTTATTCGGTACAGCCATGACAGGGAAGACTGCAGAGGGACCTTGAACTTGCATGAACTCCAGCGCTGGTAAAATGTAACATAATACATAGAGGAGAAAAACTCTAATATTGCATATGCAGTGACAGGGAATGAGCTATTACACAAGATCTTGGCGTTGTCATATATTGCTCTGTGGCAGTGCTGGCTCAGCGCTTGGTAGTGGTCAAAAAAGCGCATTGCATGTTAGGGACTGTCGGGGAAAGCACAGAGGAGGAAGCTGCTGGAAGCCAGGAGCCTGTGTTACAGAGATGCCCGGTGTTTCCTGCTCCTTCCGAGGCAGCTGCCTTTGGCCACCACTGCAGACAAGCTGCTGGCTGAGCATCGCCGAGCTGCCCTGGGTGCTGCCTCCGTTTGCTCAGCCCCCCAGCTCCAGGCACAGCACCATCTCTGCACACATCCCCAGTGCGTGCCATGTCCCGGCTCCTCGCCGGAGAGGTGGAGGTGGCCGCCCCTGGCTCATCCCAACTCTCTTCCCTTCCAGGGATTCTGCTCCTGGCTCATTTCTATCTACCAGATGAAGTAAGTGTGTGTCCTCAGCATCGCAGCTGTGCCCCACCGCTGCCTGCCCCTGGGGAGCCGGTGCCCATAGGTGGTCACGCATCACCCAGAGCTGCTGGAACTGGCAGCTGAGGAGAGCCTTCCTAAAACATCCCCTGGGAGAGAGAGCAGAGAGCTCACCTCTGTGTTTCCTCCTGGCCCCTGGCTCCTGACCCAAAGGAATGGGCTTCAACCTCTTCTGGTAGGAGCTGGTCCCGTAGTGGGATGGCAGCCTGAGGGCTGCTTGCATCCCCCATTCCTTCTGTGCCCAAATCCCACATGTCACAGGCAGGATGCCATGAGCTGGCATGGGTTGTGTGAGGCCAGAGCAGCCAGTGTCCCTGGGGCGGGAGGTGGTGGGGAGGCACCACCAGCGCTCACCCCCACCCACCTCTCCCCCAGGGACGAGGAGATTCAGAGCAAGTGTGGGATCGACGCCACCACCTACCTCTCCTTCCAGCGGCACCTCCTGGTCCTGCTGATGCTGGTCTGTGTGCTCTCCGTGGCCGTCATCCTGCCCGTCAACTTCTCGGGGGACCTCCTGGGTATGTGCTTCCCGAGTTGCAGGAAGGCTCAGGAGCATGGCACAAGCTTCTCCATCCTCAGGCCGAGCACCCTGCCCTGGGGACAGAGGGCAGAAGGACCCCTCCGTCAGGAGCCCCAGTGTGAGCAGGAACCCACCATCAGCTGTGGGACAGAGGAACGCAGGAGGCGGGGGCTTCAGGGTGGCGGGGGCTTGGCGGGGACCTGGGAGATGGAAAAGGAGGGAGCAAAGACCAGAGCTATTAACCCTGCAAGCATGGACACACATGCTGCACTGGGTTCCCATAACCTCCTGCTTCTCTTCCCCTGCAGGACACAATCCCACCCACTTCGGCCGGACAACCATCGCCAACATCCCAACACAGTACGTGGCTCCTGTGTTCAGGGGGGGGGTGCAGGTGCTGCTGATGCAGCAGGCACTGCGTAGATA